TATGATAAGAACTGAATGTATTAAAACGTACATCTTTTTTACATTTAAAGTATTGAATTTAAAACAGTAATTTCAAAAGTAATCGTTCGTTATTCATTAAAATTTCAACTTAAAATTATTATTCATGATTATAACTAATTTCAAATGCAATTATTTTCATTAATGTAATTCACTCCTATAAAATATCAATTTAATTTATTTTTATTGATTTTGAAAGTTTGTTTCTTAGTTAATTATAGACGTTTAAAAAATATGCGGGTATCTTTTTGGCTATTTATTATTGTTTTAATAATTAAACATCATATATTAGACTAGAACTGTTTATTATATTTAATAATTGTTATAAAAATAAACCAATAGAAGTTATATTTTTAAAATAGTTTTAATAATGGCTACATATGTTAATATGTAATATATTATGTAATTATGAATTATTATTTTAATAATACTTCAATTTATTTAAATTATTTGCAATCGAAAAAAATTAATTTATTCTTTTTATTAAATTATTTTTCAATTAATTCGTCAAATATTCTATACATAAAATGTCTATATTTTTATAACTCTTTATTACGATTTGTTGTTTTTAACTTTTTAATACATTTTATTATAATTGTAAACTATTAAAGTGTATTACCTACCACCAGTATATTGTTCTAATAATTATGTAAATTTATGTTATTATTATGGTTGTGTAAATATTTTTAAAAATGTTCCTATGAAACGATTGTATTTCATACTATATGGTATAGCCAATATGTATAGGTTGTACATATCATTATATATTTATTATGGCCTATAATTAAAAGTTAAGTTGTATTGTATATATTATGTGATTGTTCTAAGATACTTGATTTATATAGATACTACATAATATTAAAACGTCCATTAAAATTTACCATCAAATATACTATGTTTTATCACTTGTTTCATTTTTATTTATCTTATATAATGAAAATAAAAACATTAACAAGAATGCCATTGTAATTATTCATTTTGCAAAATAATTTTTCTTTCATTGGCAGTTTATGTTTTATACTTTACTTGGGTAAAAAATAGAAGTATTTATTACATGTTCATTAACGTGCAGCGGTAGACTTCGGCTTTTTCGTAGTTTTTATGAACGAAATAATATGTATTACTGTTATATATTTATACAAGAAAAATTATAATGATATATTTTTTATTTTATGTTTATCCTCCAAAATTTGTCGCCCCTTGCCCCCCTGTTTAACGCAACTCTGGCTGTCATTGATAACTTCTAGAATTTTATATAATATCATCAGCTAGGATATGTCATACATCATCCATCAACACCACTTTATGAGAGAAGAATCTTCCAACTACTCCAATTGTGGCCACCCACTCACCATTAAATACATCTTTACCGAATGTCTAATTTTCGAAAATGAAAGGAGAGACTCCGACCTTCCATAAAAAATATCGGAATATTTGTGTCCAGACCCACACAATGTACAATCCATGGTAGAACTCCTCCATAACTCAAAATTTCTCAGCCAAATATAACACTATATATATATATATATATATATATATATATATCTAATATTGTATTTATCATATAAATAACCTATATCTTAATGTTGTCCAATGGTTTCTGAAGCCGAAGATTTTATTTAATAAAAAAAAAAACTATTTGTGTACATGTTTAATGATCAGACTAATTGTTTGACGAGCCGATTCCCTCGAAATAACACTATGCGTCATAATTAAAAATTTAAAAAAAAAAAAGAATTTTTTTTCATTGTATAATTAGTTACGCATTATTTAATTATTTAATTTTTTTTTTTTGTATTCTATTCTTTCAAAAAAACGTGCTTACGTTATTATGTTTGCGTCTCTCTAAAACACGCCTCCATGCCCGTGCTGACTGACTGTATATAATGGTTACTGTCATCTAATCTTCAACGCGTCGTCATTATTATCATTATTTTATTATTATCGTTATTATATGTATTGATCAAGGCTAATATCAAATCTGCATGTGCCTGCATGTACTATGATATGTATACTGCGACGACGACGACATGACTACGATGACGATGACTGAAACCCAACGGTCCGTTCACCTCGTTGGCTACCGTAGAAAATGGTGCTATTTTTTTATTCCTTTTTTGCCTTTTCTATACATAAAAATTTATCAAAACACTTATATGAAAATATAATATCATCTATACTCACACGTATACACTCATATTTATATTTATTTATGTATTGAAAAAAAATCAACGTTCCATCGATTCGGCGCACGTAATTATGTTACCCTCGAAACTCGTGTGTGTTTGCTGGTTTCGTATTATATTCATACGGCTACAACTAAATATTAATACCGCTACAAACATCTACTAAAAAAAGGTAAAGGGACGAAAATCACAGACGTACGCCGCAACAGGTTCCTTTTATACGTGAATCTGAGAGGCCCCCACTTCGTTGTAAATTGTAAATTGAACTCCGATAGCGGCGGGTAATTATAGTCATATTATATTTTTATTGTAGGTATGCATAATTATTATTTATAAACACAAGTTGGAAATGAAATAAATTGTGAATAATGTAAAAAAAAAAAAAACGTACTCATTTTGTACCATATTTTTTTTCATTTTTATTGTGTGTATTTTATTTATCGATACTTATATGGTTTTATATATATAGTTTACGATAAGCGTGATAGCTATATTATTGATTTATAATAATAGAGCATTTGTAGTTTTTCGTTAAAACAATAATATTAATAACTATGTGTATAGCACCGTTTTGGAAGTAGAATTTCGTATCTCATATGACGAAATAAGAACGTTTTCTGTGTTTATAGAAATTATTTAAATTTTTTGTTGTCTTTGAATTTTGAAAATATGAGCATTCTTGTTGTGTAGTATATACAATTATATGAAAATGACATAATTTTATACCTCTCTGCAGAGTACTGCTATTATTACACTTTTAGCATAAATTATTATTAACCTAATACTTACTACCTACCTATAATCGCCATGTATTATTATTGTAAAAATATGCAAAAAAATGCACTGCCGCATGCGAGAAAATATTCAAGTCTACTGCACTGATGGCGGCGACGGCTGTGGTGGTCCTATTGTTGGTCTCGACGCCTGTGTTGATTCCGCTGCTCAGATATACAGGTAATATAATATAATGTTATCACGAAGATCAACTGCCGCTGCCGCCGCCACCGCCGCCGATTGTATTATTATTATTTTCTACACGAATATCGCACGATCAGTGTTTATCGTTGTTTTTTTTTTTTAATAATATTATTACTATTATTCTTATTTATTTTTATAATTTTTTCAATTGGTTTCTGCGAGAAAGAGAGAAGGGTAAACATTGAAATATCCTGCCTAGACGTCTTCGATGCAAACAGAACATTTAATCGTTTAATACTTGTTTATTAAATCGTAGTATCACTTTAATTCTGTAAATTTTTGACTTATAAGAATTTAATAAGGAGCTACCGCTAAGGATTGTCATCGATTAATATTGTACAGTCTAAGATTTTATAATATATCACAATCGATATTCTTTTTTTTATCTCTCATATTAATATTTTTCATTACTTTTTTTATAATGTTTATAAATAAACTGTAGTTGACTTAATATTTATTCCCAGTAATTCTACGGAGAGGAGAGGGTCTATTTATATCATTTCCAAAAATATGTTAACTCACTGCATGAATTGCTGATATGTATGCTTCAGATTGTATCTTTAATTTTTATTTCGCTCAAGTATTCGTATTAATTCGGTTGAAAATCTAGTATGACTTTACAAATAATACTAAAATATTTACCACCTTAAGTGAATTTCAATTCGTTATTATTAAAATATAACGAACAGTATTTTTAGACATTTGCATGATATAAATATTTGATCACATTTTATGTACCCTCTGAGTCAGGAGCCTAGAAAGTATTGTCGGAGAAAAAATAACAATAATGTATTAATAAATACGAGTAAACATATTTGTATCTAAATGTATTTCTTGACGATTTAAATAATTTTTATTTCACTTGATATTTATGACTAAGCGATTCATTTTTTTTTTTTACAACATCTTAAGTTATGATAGATATTATGAGATATTAGATATTTTATAACTGAATTATGATTTATAAATCAATTATGATTACAAAATATTCAAAATTTTAATATTTTATCTTAATAGATAAAACTTATAATAGAATAAAATAGAACTTCCTTTAATCCCAAAATTTATTTATTTAAATTATATTTTTTTTTGTTTATATAAAAAAAAGAAAAATTCAAATAAAACGTTTTCAATGTATTAAATTTTTTCGAGCATTTTTTTTTTTAATAATTTATGTTTTTAAAACTAATTTTAAATCAATTTTGATTACCTTTACACTCGGAGATATTAGACTTATCTGAATTTAAAATAATAAAATAAAACAGTTAATTCACTGCTTTCAACGGCTACATAATATTGTGCTGATGATAATTTCATTTACGGAAGTATAAAGATGAATCAGGACCATGACAATACAATAATTGAATTTTTTTTTTTAGTATTGAAAAAAATTGTAATATTTATTATTTTGAATATGTAAATATTATGTAATCAGAATTATAAAAAAGTTTTTTTAATTAACCCGTATGTAAGTTATACTGCTTCAGCTATCCAATATCAAAATAGTTTTATTTGAAATCAGTCTATAGTTTCCTTTTGATACGTGATTTTAATTATTTTCCAAAGACGTATGAACCTATTATGATAAGATAAATTGATTCTTCAACATCGTCTATGTCAAAACATCTATGTAACCTTGTTCCTAAGACTCCATCCAATTTACGTGTTATGTCCTCGAATTCTTGTTGCACGTAGGTGTTTATTAGAATTTAATGGCTTCCGGACTGAGTGCCTCAGTTTCTTACCATAATTTATGTATATATATTAATAATGCATTGATAAAAATGTCTTACTTATGTTAGTATTATTTTTCTATAGCCGGACACTGTACCACAAGCCAGGCTGGATATGTTTACAGCCATTGCTGTGGAAGAAGCTGACGATGCAACTGGAAATCCTCATAGTTTGGCCATCACGTCCTCTGATCGAAATATTCATTTCGTCAAAGGAGCGTGTAGAGAAGAAGCTAAGGGTTGGAAAGATGTACTTACCTCATATATGCGTCATACTACACAGGTGAGTTTATACAATTACATATTTTTTTAGTTGATATACGAGTATGTTTAAAACTAATATTTATGATGAGCTGTTATATGAATCTCAATCGTTGTATATTTTTATCCAGTTTTGGATAATCAGTTTTATAAATAATTTAACTGTCTAAAATTACTATGGATCGAGAATATTATTGCTAAGAATACATTGATAATAGTAGCGATATATTCAGATTTATTTCTAAATTATAAATTATATGTGTATAATAAAATTATTAAAATGTAAAAATTATACTTTTCTTTTGGTCTAGAAATTATTTTTTCATTAAAAATATGAAATAGTGAATTTAAATTTAAATGAGTATCTAGAAAAATACATTCTTATATATACCATTAATTATTATTATTAACAAAAAATAAAAATTTCTTGTATGATACGTTATATTTAAACAATTAAAATAAATATTTTTTACGAAATTGATTAGGAGCAAGTTGAAGAGATAAAAATCTAGACAATTCCAAAATAATCACTTATTGTAATCGATGAATACAATGTATGTATAATTTTTTGTGTAATTTGAAATTTATTTTTTAGATTAAACTTCCATAATATTATAATTAATTAGTCTTACGATCAAGTCGATAATAATCTATGGTTTATTAAAGTATTTATTTATATAGCTTGAGTTCATTAACTACGTTTCATTGTTAAAAAACGAAGCATTTTAAAGTCTACTGTCAATAAGTGTTTTATTTTTTATTGTAAATGATTAAAGTGTGTATCTCGGAATTGTATTAAAAATAAAAATAACTTTCATTGACCTTTGCTGTTATTATGTCATTTTTTTTCTAACATAACTTATTGTCCAAAAATGTAGTCATCGTACGTTTTATGGGAGCGCCGATCGTGATAGTTTTTTTTCTGTATTTTTGGAGGACCTGTAAAATATATAATTATGAACTCTGTTTTGTTTGTATATATGTAAAAAAAAAAAAAAACACGGGGACTTGTATCCAGATAAACCGGTTTTAAGACTTCCAATCTAACAAGAACCGATACCCCGATCTATATTATTACTGTTATTGCGGTTCTATCCTCCCATTGATCGTGATGTATACTGCTAGTCTCACTGTGTTCACATGTCGGCTACATCGTGTGCCAGCGAAATTGTACGATTCATCGGCCTCCCTCTTTGCCGATTTGTTTCGGTCCGTTTTAGACAGGCTATGTGATCTAGTTCATCGTTAGTAATAATACATGTACCTAATACGTATATAATGTATATGTATGTATAACATCTATTATACATGTCATGGAAACGATCTGTGGTATTGTAATTTCAAAATCTCATGTCTGAATAATATCGATACATATTGTCGGGGGTATTCAAGTATATTTTAGAAGTTTCTAACAAGTTATTATCCATCAGGTAGCATCATTACGCTGCCCATTATTGTGATCCAATTCATGTTTATCGATTATGATTATTATTCCAAAATCAACTTTAGACCTTTCTAGGATTTCTTTATGGACATAAAGAATAATGGACATAATAATAATATTACGCGTAAAACGTAATTGTATAATTTAAAAGCTCAGTCATTAATGTTTTAAAATATATTATATTTGGTGTATTGCAAAGGTCAACGTGCTACACAGCAAGAATACCCTCAGTTTACTTATATTATAATTGTATATTTGAAACCACTTAGGAATATCAGCAGACGATGATTAGTTGGTTAATAATTTTGTATACAGTTTATCGGTGCTCATTGTCTTGGAACACTGGCACGTGGGTTATAAATCAGATCGTTTTTTTGCTTCTCTGGATATTGTCTTTTATATATTAATTAAGACCCTATACAGACGTTTTAACGAACCGTGACCAATGATTAATTCTTATTGTTTCGGATTTAAGCATAATTTAAATACCGTCTACTAAATGACACCCACAGTAGTCGTTTTAGCGAAAAACTACCAAAAATAATCGTTTTCCTCGTAGGGACGCGGTCATCAGACCGACAAACGACAATTTTTTTCTCCTAAAACAATATCGAAAAATATATACATATATAATAAACATTACAAGGATCGTTTTAGAATCGGGAGGGAAACAATTCTGGTTGATGTTCAGCAAACTCGATCACGATTGGCCAATTACGATGTTGGAATTTGCCTTGGGCGTCTTATAATAATAAGCGCGTTTTTGACCGCGCGCGCGCAGCGGCCATCCTGACAGAGGTAAGGAAAAAATGACTAATGCTTTTCGGCGATGTGGTGTTTATATGTACCTGATTGCTGCGCATATATAGAAATATATATTCACACAAGGTCGTTCACAAGTAGATACTGCTGCAGTGTGGCTCAATCACATGTTAATTGTATAACCAAATGCTTTGCTGACGTGCAACAGTGTGTGATTTATTACTGCCATAGACGACTTAGGGTTGGTGGAATTATTGCCGGTGTTGATTTACATAATTTTTTGTGAGATAAGTTAGTGACAAAATGTCAAAAAATCAAGCCATGGCGATTACATATTTTAATGGCGCATTCACTTTTTATCTCGGAACAGATATTCATGTATAATATACTAAAGTACTTGTATGCTTGTACAATAAAGTATCCGTAAAACTATTATTTTGTTGTATATAATTTTTTCGATTTATTTTAAATAACACCCCTCTTAAAAAAAAAACCTAGATACGCGCCTGAGTATCTTGGCTTTGACCGGAATGTGTGGTGTGGGCGTAGGGGTTTTGCCCCGTTCGTTTGCACATATACAATTTATCATTATTATTATGCGTGCGCGCCTGTTAGAGCTTAGTGCTTTGAGTGATTTAGATCACGATCTTAATTTGAAATAAACTATACAGTATAATGTGTTCTTCTTTTTCAAATAATTTATAAAGGACATTAGTTACTCGATACAATTGTGTCTGGAGGAATGAACATACGAATATGAGGACACTTCTAAAATCGACGTTTGAATGTTTGCGATTTCTTCTCAAACGAGCTGGTTGTCGATTTCTAAATTATAGTTATGGATATTTTATTTAAATTTCACCTTATTAAAATATCAATTATAAGAATGTTTGTATGTTACTCAAGTATTTTATTCAAATACAATAAAATTAAGTACAATATTGGATGTTGTCATAAGACTATTTGAAAGTATTTATTGTTTTATGTTATAATTGTTTTAGGACAAATGGAGTGAATTAATTTGAACAATTTGTTTAATGTCAAAATATATTCGGCCAATATATAACTTTTATTCTTTAATTAAAATGCAATTTGAGTTAAGAATTTCATATCTAACATTATTTTGTTTGAATATATAACTATAGACGTACATGAGTATATTTTTTCTAGTGTATTCATATGTTCATATGTTTATACATTTTGTTTCAGATAACTCCAACGACCAATGGCATACCAAAGCATAAGCGGAACTCGACGTTCCCAGGTCCAAACACTACATCCGGCGCTCTGAATGGACCAGTCGTTAGAGGTAAGTTGAATATTGCACAATGCATTGTATACGTAGTGTTGTTTGTATTGTACTTGTTCATTATGCAAAAAAAAAATCTAAATTTTACTTCCGGCGGATGGTGCTCGAATGTTTGGCTAGCTACCGCTGAAATTATACAGTAGTCTTCGTGTTATCCTTGGATTTGATGCGTGTGTAGGCAATAGTAAGCAATTGTGTAACGGGTTCACGATAGATGCCGGTTAAACTGGTTGCTTTATTTAAATACATATAGAATGATCATCTTTTCATTAATCGAGCAATATTTTTTAAAGTTTTATTAAACATTTATCCGAAAACATTTATATAAAACATAAGGTACGAATGAACAAATAACAGATATTTAAACCTTATTTATATTATATATATTACAACTATGTACATTTTCATATTGACAACTAGACTCCAAAGATTATTTTAATAAATTAAATCACAAGCGGGAAACTATTTTAGATTTATTGGTTCTAAATTCCACAAAGACGTCGAACATCACCGCGACCTAATAATTTTCTGGCATTACTGTCACGCTCTACAAATGCCTATATATAATATATTAATACGTTATTAAGCCGCTGAGCTCTTAACCATAATACTATGGTCTTGTTTTGGTATTTAAATGAACTGTAGTTGCATGTAAACAAACTTGCATACATTTATTATACATGTATAAATAATGAATGTGTTTTACACATTTCTCTTTCCTAGTAGTATTACCTGTAAATGATACAATTTTTCCCTTGTATAGATACACCTACCAATTTTATTTGCATATACTTTATGTATTAAGAACATTTATTTTAGAACATAACATGTGGTATTTTTTATATAATTTGACTTTTTGGTAAATAAAATCCAATTTCTCACCAACTAAAAACCGCAAAAATGAGATGCTATAAGATTGTAGAGATTCTTATAACCACAATATTACAACTCATAAATAAACCATGCAGATAATATTTGTGTAAAAATTATTATTCTTTGTGGATACGTGTGCATTATACAAAATAAAATGAATGTTTACTCTTTAGTCTAAATAATTTCAGTCAATCGTTTGGATTTCCCATTGTGTTATTATTTACACAAAACCTAATGTATATTTTGAAAGATTATAATATGTATTTGCTTATGTTAATATATTAAGTGCATTTTATTATTGATTCTGTGAATATTTTCATAAATTATCTTTATGTTAGTTTTTATATATTGACACACTCCCCAGCAATTCTGAATTCCATTTCAGCCGTATGTGTACGTGAGGAGTTTTGTACATAGAATTTTAAATAAGACCATAGCCTGTCTCTTGTGTCCTGGTTGTGTTCATTAATCTCTTAATCATGTTGTGGTCGCAGAATTCTTATTATTATATTGTTTGATACAACGACAACAATAGAAGACACCGTTGCCCACGTGCCTACGTTTCGGCGTGAAGTACTTCTTTTTTCCTCTTTTTTTTTTTCGTAAGCCCGATCGTTTGCGTATCGCATTATTTTTAATTCTATGGGACGCGACGCACATGCCAAACGTGTTGAAAGAAGAGTCTCGACAGTGTTCAATATTCAAAGCGTGGCGTTTTTCCTACACGTAAAACCTCCACCACGGTCATCGTCCTCTCTCGTGGATTTCACGATCTGATTAATAATTGTTATAATAATAATAATAATAATAATAACGATGATAAAATATTATGCACATGAGATACATTTAAAATGTATGTATTGACCCAAATTGTCTTTTTTATCTGATGTGTATGAAAATTAATTGATGTTGAACAAAAATAGCCACTGAGACTATGGCGGTGTTTTTTAGTTTAATTAGAAGCTTAAGCTATAACGCTATGAAAATTCTCGCCCTCTGAAATAGAATTTCAGGTTTGGTAAAAACCAGTTTTGTCATTTTACATGAAACAGTCAGGTTTCGGTCACAATTACTGCGAAATTTTGCATACGCATTATAAAATAAATTTTTTAACGTTGATGATGGTAAAGGTTAAATCTGTTGTGAAGCCAGTTTTTTTTATCCCCTGTATATTAAATTCGTGTTGTGTTGCACGTCGTGTTGACGGAACACATTAAAATCATTTTTGATTAGTTATATTACCTGCAAAATGATTGCCAATGTTTCTTTGTTAATTTTTATTTTCTTATGGTAAATATATAATAGTGTTTAAAACATACTTATACATGATTTAGAAATATAATGATGTATATATTTCGAAACAAAAAATATGACATTAAAATCATTTCACTGAATGTCTAACGCTAAACCAATTATTCATATTATTATCGAGCCTGTACTTTCAAACCAGATGTCATTTATACTTGAATTCAGTTAAACGATTATGAAATGTGCTGGGATTGAAGATTTTTGAATATTTTGCTAAAAATAAGAGCTTTAAACCAGTTATGTAGTATAATAAAATATATTTTTGTTGACAAATGTCAATTAATTAGTTCTCTATAATATGTACTCTCAGCATGTTTGCATTTACGAGTTTTTATTTTTCAATTTTAGAATTAACCATAAGAAAAATATTTAATTCTGCAATGATTCTGCACTAATTTTTCATTATTTCTATGTTAAAAAGTTTATCGTGATGCGTTTAAATAATTAATTCTAGTATAACGGGAAAAATATTTTTAAAAGATGTATTGATATCGATATATTTATGTATTTGCATGTAGTCTTAGACTTATGTATTAATTTATTGATATATAATATGATCATTTCCGTTTGGTTAAAATCACTTTAATTGATATACAATAATGAATACTGATAATTGTAATACTCAAATTACAAATTAAATATAGGTAGTTACTTGTATTCGAAAATGTTAGTTTTATAGGTGTATAATATAATATTTAAGGAATTGTAATTCATGTAAAATGTCATAATGTCCTGTAATATTTTTTATATTTTTTATACATAGTATGGCATTTCAATTATTAACAAGCAAGAATAAAAATAATGCATAACCAAAATTATTAATAAACAATGATTCTTATACATACGACGTGTAATGACTAATAAAGTATATTCCGGTGTATCAACTTCCGGTTAAATATCATCTGGAAACTCAAAATGTTATGCACGCTACAGTGACTACACAAACAATTTTATGTATTTTAATTACAATTTAACTGTCACTAAAAATTAAACGAAATATAATGCGTTCTCTGCCATGTCAAAACTTCAGGTTCGGTTACAACTGAGGTTGTTTTATAATATCGTTTGATAAAAATTATATAGATATAAAATAAAGTTGTTATTTCACTATCGTTAATAAATAATATTTAATAGTAACGGTCGTAACATAGTACACTTTTATTTATTTTTATTATTATACTTCAATATATTCATTATATAATTTAAGACTTAATTAACAAATGTAATCTTTATTTTCATGTTACTTCCTATTCATGAATTAGAAATTAGAAAAATCTTACTAATGAATATAGGTAACGATTGCAATTAAGGTGTTTTAGTTCAAATCTAGCCTGCCCTAATTTTGTTTTATTATTAAGATGGTTTATTGCTGATTATCATACAGTTTAAGTTATAATTTTGACCCTTGTACTATGTTAAAATTTATCAAAAATTCATGATTTTTGTTGTTAAAATTAATAGAATTGGCAATTGTCGAATAAATAATTTTATTAAGTATACAATACTTTAATTTAAGAAGTGAATTTCATTGTGATATAGTGACAAAAATGATAAAAGTAAAATTATTATTTCATCAGATAGTTTTTTGTTTAAGTGGTTTCGTGAAATTCTATAGCTGTGAAAATACAATCTAGAAGATATCATTGACAATTAATTTCATTTTTTGTGCCTGTATCATATTTTAGCGTGAAACACAAATATAATTCGTCTTCTTCTTGATTTTTTTTTTTTACTTAATTACATTGCAATAAGTTATAATTGATAATCGCGGAAATGTGGTGTTTTAATGGTGCAACATATTTTCAAAGTAATTGTGTTATGTAATAATATCGAACGCATTTAATGAATGTTAAATTTGTATTTTATATGTAGCAGTTAATAATTTTTATATTCCAATCATAAATATCGATAACTGATATAATTATATATTATTTTTTTAAAAAACATATCAAATCGAAATTTATAAGCATACATATTTATACCTGGTTTCAATATGTCATTTTCATGATTATTACACGAGTATTATGTCACATATTGAGTTTATTTGTGTTTCATTGATGAGTTAGTGGAAAAAAAATTTACTGAGATTATCAAACATTTACAAATGCAGAGGTGTATGAACGCGCATTGCAGATTTTGTTTAATATAATATCGGTGTCTTAATCAGGGTTCGGAATTTATAGCATTTAAAATCATTAAAATAAGTGCTTAAAAACATCATTATAAGCACTAAAAAAATAAAAAAATTTAAATTAAGCAAATATATTTATTTAAAAAAAAAAAAAAACTATACAATTCTAACTAAAAAATCAAACAAAATAAAAATAAATCTTCACTTTCAAAACTTTATGGATTTTCTAAGGGATTTTTCAGAAAAATAAAATGTAAATTGTTCTCTCTGCTCTTAATCATTCTGACGTTTGTTACTCAGTTCTGTTTTCAGCGTTGGAATATCTTTGTTAACCCTACAACGATGACTTGGACGACGAACTACATGATAACGTAGATAAGAATTAATTTTAATTTTAATTCTATTAAAACGACTTTGCAGGAGAAAACTATAAAAACGTAAAAGAACTGGTCAAATAAACAAAAATAATCAGAAAAACTGGAAATAAGAATATTTTTGAAAAATTGCTGAAAAAAGCAAAAAAAAAAAAAAATCATTTTCAAATTTCATAATTGTACGTACTTCTATAGCACTCCGCTACATTTTATGTTAATCCATAAAAATAAGCAAATGCTTTAACTCCCGAGCCCTGCTTATCACCATTCGATGCTGCGAAATTTGTCATTTTTCGCGTATTCAAATCATCGAA